ACATCGGCACCAAACCCGAGCGCAGTGCCGGCGGCGCGGCGCGGCTCGCCCTTTCCGCCCTCCGCCGCCGCCGCCGCCGCCGCAGCCGCCGCCGTGCTGCTGGCCTGCTGCTCGGTGCGATCCAGCCCCTCGAAATCGCCCTAAGTGACTTTTAGCGCCCCTCTTGCTCGACATCGTTTTCTATTTCTGACCCCCGGCAATGGTCATTCCCGTGGTGATCATCCGTCTTTTGGGCAGGGGTCATGACAATGGAGATGACGGGGACGGTCGACGACGCTCGAAAGAAGTGCGTACCGCACAGGACATAGCTTCGTGGACACCATCGGTAGAGCCGATCGTCAGGGCAGGTGAGGCGCGTTCTTGCCCTGCTCCCCGACGGGCCCTGCCCATCTGCCCTTCATCTCCTCGGTCGACCCGACGTCTGGTCGATGAGCGCCAGGACAGCTAGATAGAGAGGAGACCGACTGAGCCACGCCTTGCTTGGCTGTTTCGCCCGCCGAGTACACTCTGGGCGTCCCTTTGCATCCGCCTCCTTTGATGCCATGCTGGACGGCCCGTCCGCAAAGGTACGCGAGATGATCGCGGGCAAGGGCAGGCCGCTCGTGCCCTATCACACGCCGGCCCCACCGCTCCATTTCATCTGCCAAGACCGCAGCTCCGCCTGCCTGTTCTCGAAACTCTCTGGGACGGTGCGGGCAGCAGGTGCTGACGCGGCTGCATGCTCCTGCAGCGCTGGCTGCGGGACTCGGTGCACGCCAAGAACGCCGGAACTGCCGCGTCGACGATCCCCTTTGTACGTCGGTCGGTCGTCTTCTTTGTGCCTCCCCGCTCGCGGTCAACGCCTGGCCGAGCGCCCTGCGCCCGCAAAACAGGAGGCTAGGGGTCGTGTTTTTCGCACAAGGGCGTCAGGCAGCAGACATATACTCCGGCCATACCCACCAGAGCGATCGACTTGGGCGGCTGGGTCTCCGCCTCGACGCCGGTCAACTCGACATAGAGTTGTGGCGGTGCTCCGAGCCCTAGCTTAGGCCGTTCGCGGATGGTTTCCGGTCTCGCCTCGTCACAAGCGGGGCAGAGATGTATGCAGTTGCAAAGGCAGACCGAAGCTGTCAGTAGGCCAAACAAAGCAGCCTTAGCTTGCTTTTGGTCGCGGCGGTGGCACGCTCGGCGTCGGAGAGGCGCCTGCCTGCCCCGCCTGGCTTTTGTTTTTCCACCGAGGGGCGAAGAATTGGTCGCACGCACCTGCTGCGGACCAGCAACATATGCATGCATACGCGTACGTCTTCTGCGTGCGTGCTGCCTGCTTCTGGACGTACATACGTACGTCCTCGAGCGGTAGCTGAGCGCTGTCTGGCGGGCCCTGGGGTTGGTGATGGTACAGCGGGCAGGCAGCCAGAGAGAGGCAGGATGGCCAGAGAGGCGAGCAAGCGGGCGAGCGACCGCCGCCGCCGCCCTTCGGTGATCCCGACGCAGTCCTGCTCCCCCCTCCCTCCCTGCCTGCTAGACTTGCCCCCGTCACCGTTCCGCTTCCCCCCTTTCCCCTTCCCACCCACCACCACTCCCCTCCCCATCCACTCACTCTACCTCCTTCCCTCCCTCCCTCAAGTCGCTCCTTTTTGGTATATCAGGATCCGCCTTCTTATCGGATCTCTGGCCCCACCCTCTTTCCCCCCTCTCCCCGTGTCATTCCCATCATCCGACGTGCCTTGCTAGACAGACACACAGAAGAGGCAGCACCATCTCCCTCGACTCTCCTGCGACCCTCGTCATCGATTGATACTCGGTCGCCAATCCTCAGCATACACTACTGCACCCCCGGCCTCAAACGGCGGATCACCACCCTCCTTCGATACAGCAATGCGCGTCTCGACTGTCGCCCTCGGAGCCCTCGCGCTCGCCGCCCCCCTGGCCTCGGCCAAGGCCCACAGCCGACGCGGCTTCTCCGTCGAGCGTCGCGACCATCCCAGCGGCGCTGACCTCTACGAGATGGCCAAGCGCCAGCTTCCCGCCACCAGCAAGAACGGCATGCCCTACCCCGAGGCCGGCGCCAACCCGCCTCCGGAGAGCAGCCTGCCCAAGGAGTGGATCGACCGCTACAACGAGAAGAAGGCCGCCGGCCTCATCCCCAACATCCCGCCTTCGCTCTACAGCGAGGGCACGGGCGTCACCGGCTACCCTCCCGGCACTGACCTCAAGGCCGCCTGCTCCTGGACGCTGAGCAAGTGCGACACGGGCGACCTGTGGCTCGCTCCCGAGAACAGCGTCGCCATCACCTTCGACGACGGCCCCACGCCCCAGTCGCCCGACCTCATCAAGTACCTCAACGACAACAACCAGCGCGCCACCCACTTCCTCATCGGCTCGGCCGCCGTCTGGAACGCCGACATCATGGACCAGTATGTCAAGGCCGACCCGCCGATGCACCTCGGCGTCCACACCTGGTCGCACAGCATCCAGACGAGCAAGACGGACATGGAGATCCTCGGCGACCTCGGCTGGACCTCGCAGATCATCTACGACCTCACCGGAAAGGTCCCCATGTACTTCCGCCCTCCCGAGGGCGACGTCGACGCCCGTGTCCGCGCCATCGCCAAGGAGGTCTTTGGTCTCCAGACCGTCATGTGGAACAAGGACGCTGACGACTGGTGCCTGCGCCAGGGTACCGGCACCGCCCAGATGGACGTCTGCACGACGGGCGTCGGCAAGGACCAGGACTCGGTCGTCAAGGAGATGGAGAGCTGGGCCAAGGCCACCAGCAAGAAGGGCTTCATCTCGCTCGAGCACGAGACGACGGACCAGGCCATCAACGCGTTCAAGAAGTACCACAAGGCGCTCAAGGACAACAACTGGAACGTCATGTCGGTCCCGGACCTCCAGGGCCTGCCCTACTACCAGAACCAGTGGAACCTGACCACCAAGGTCGAGGACGTCAAGTCGATCCTGCCCACGCGCAAGGCCATCGACATTGTCAACTCGGACGCGGCCCGCGGAAGCCCCCAGGCTCCCGACGTCTCTGCCTTTGCCGACCTCGACGGAAGCGGCCACGCCTCGGCCGGCAAGTCGTCGTCGTCGTCTTCGTCGTCGTCGGCCAAGTCGTCGGCTGCTTCCGGTTCGGGCTCGTCGAGCGGATCCACCTCGTCCCAGAGCGCCTCCAGCAGCAAGCAGAGCCAGACCTCGACCTCGGGTGCCGCCCAGTCTGGCGCTCTCCTCTCGACTGCTGGCCTCGCCTCGGTCGCCGCCGTCGTTGCTCTCTTCCTCTAAGAGTGTCCCGGCCCGTATAGACCCTGAGCGCCACGGACGCGCGTCCGTACCCTTCCTCCTCTTCCCGTTCATAGACTTCCTGGCCAGGCCATGCCTCTCCTTGCTCGCCTCGCGTCTGCTCGTTGGCGCCGACCTCCGGGCTACACTTGACTCGCCACGACGGCAAGGCCCATCTTTCGCTGCTCTGTCGTTTCTGCTATCCGCCTCGACGCTCTCAGTCCCGTCGCACACAAGGTCGCTAGCCACCTGCACACACACCACAATGCCGGCGACCTCTGCCTTCAAGGCTGGTCTTTGATGGGCGAAGTCAACTTGGCAGCAGTACCCCCTTTTCGTTCCCCCTTCGCTTGTCCTCTTCCTCTCCGCCTCGCTCGTCCGCTTGGCCGACACTGCCGTTGTTTGCCCACGACGCGCGCGCGCGCTGCGCGGATCGAGGAAATCTGCAATCCGCTCTCCTTGACGCCATCGTGTGGAACTGTAGATCGTGGCAGAAGCTTCTCGTTCGGCACCGGGCTTGCCGCAGATGGAAGGCGATGAAGCGGCGGCTGGGGTAGGAGAAAGGAGCTGCGTCACCGGCCAGCTTACCGCCGCTCGTTCGCCTCCTCGCTGCCGGCCTTCCCGAGGCCGGTCTTCACAGGCCTTGCAATACGCACACCCGAGCGAGATGCCGTCCTCCGCCATTTTGCCCTCCTTACTATCCGGCACACCGACGGACAGGGCAGCACACGCACGCAAGAGCGATGGAATATGTGGCTTTGAGAATTCCGCACGCTCGTCTCTCGCGCTTCACCGGCCGTTCAGCGTCCCACGACGTCCAAGGACGGGAATGCAGGACAACGACGGCGGTAGATGAGCAAGTCGGGCACTGTTACACAGCGTGGCGGGCTGAGGCAGCCGTTTAAGGAGAAGCGGCGGTGTTGAAGATGTCGTTGTGGAACAGGGTCTTGCTGCCATCGCCCCAAGGGAAGGCCTGCAGTGAGCAACAGTGGGAGGACCGCAAGCAAAAATGAACGGTCAGCTTGTTTCTCCAAATCTAGGCGATTAGGGCGAAAGGAAGATCTGGTAAGGGCGCCAACACGAACCTTCTTGCGGATGGTCTGTCGAATCATTCGAAGCCAGATAGTTGGCGAATAAGAGGACGGCGCGGAGAGGAGAGTCGGTCAGCGCCTACGTGTCTAGCTCGTCGTCAACCCGAAGGCATGCTCGCGCGCAGAACTCACGTTGTACTCGTACTTGGTCTTCTCGGGGGCCTGCTCGCCGTTCTCGTGGAACTCGTGCATGGCGTGGGCGTGGTGCTCGGCCTCGATGCCGTAGATGTAGACGCCGAGGACGATGGCTGCGGGTGCAGGCGGCACAAGAACAAGGGCGAGTATGAAGACCGTCTGTCAGCTTCGATGGTCCGGCTAACGCGGGGGCGATAAGCGGCGGGACCGGCCCGGCCAATACTTACAGCCAGGAATGCAGACGTAGATCGATACCCTGTAGTCGATCAATGAGCAAGATTCAGCGATGAAGGGGTGAGGTGTCAGTCAGGAAGACTTCAACGAGGCGTAGGGTGGAAGATGGAAGAGATGGTCCGACTCACTTGCGCCAGAGGTCAGCCGACTCTACAAAGAGTCAAGTCGAAGCGCCGTCGTCAAGTTTGTCACGATGGAAAGTCAGCGCTCTGCATCCATCAACGCGAAAGTGTTCATCGGTCGAACGACGGAGGCGACTCACTGGCAGCGTGCTCCTTGATGTGCATTCGCTCAGCGACAAACTCGTTGCCGGTAGCGGCGCCGGTCGAGTAGCCGCGGGCGAGCGCGGAGCGGGCGAGGCCGGTGCCCTGGCGAGAGAGGAGGGTGGCGAAACGAGAGGCCATCTTTGACAGTAGTGCGTGTGACGAGGCGGTGGAAGGAAGGGTTGGTGTGGAGAAGGTTGGGTAGGTGTCAAGAGCAAGCTTGGCGGCCCCGGGTCGAGTGAGATGGATCTCGGGCGGGGGAGGGCAGAGCAGCCGCCAGCCCCCGGCCAGCGTAGGCCTCGGAAGGGACAGGGCGGATTTCAATTCGTGCGACCGCCCCCCGGCTCCGAGTCGTGGCACGTGATCCCCTCCCCCATCTTCCAGCACGCCGTCCGGCATCCTCGATGGCGCCGTCGGTGCAGCTGGCTGCGCTGTCCCTCCGTCACCACCACTAGGCTGGCTGTTGCGATGCACGCACATGACCGGGAAGATATGAGCAGGGACAGGGAGTATCGCATGTTTGCAGCAGGTATCTATGTGGCGCCGATCGCCGGCAGTGTCACGGCGGCCACCCTCAGCCTCCTCAGCCTCCAGTCTCGCTCATCCAACAACAACATGGAGCCGAGAGCCTGATGATGGGCCCGGATTCCAGGCCCTCCGGAAGCCGTTTGCGTCCAGCGGGCCGTCATTCATCGTCATTGTCGTCATCGTTGTGATCATCGTCGTAAACGCCAACGAGGCCACCGCCCTCGCCTCCGTCATCGGCTCGGCGCCGCTGCTTCTTTTTGTCGTTACGCACGGGGATCTTAATGCCCTGCGACGCCAGCTTGCGTGAGAGCGGCGTTGGATCCAGCATGCCGGGGAACTTGCGCGGAGAGTAGACAGCTGCAGAACGCGGCGGCGCAGCAGTGAGTTTGGAGCCGGCCCAACGTCAGCGCATGCGTGGATGCAAAAGCGCAGGTCGGACTAGTTGGCGAGGTCTCCTCCCACTACTCACTGAACGGCTCCGTGTACGTCTCTGCTAGGGCTTCCGACACGCCCGTGCCCACCCGTCCGTTGCTGGGGGCACATATGTGCAATGTGGTGAAGCAAGGGACAGCAGGGTCGAGAGATATGGTTAGGCTCAAGGTGCAGATCGCGCGAAGCTAGCCCGCATAATGTCGGTTCCTGAATCCGGCCTTCAAACTCACACTTCCAGGTTGACAAACATGAGCTTGATGCGGTAGACGCCCTCGGTGCGGACGCTGATGTCCTGGAAGACGAAGAAGGTGCACCATTTTTCGCTCTCGTCCTTGAGCACCGAGGCGCTCGCCACCGCCGCGCCGACAAGATTGCGCGTGTAGGACTCGGCGGGCATGTGCGCGAAGGCGGATGGAAACATGGGCGAGTGCGCCATACCCTGGGCTGGGCTGCCGCTGTACGGCCTCGACGGGGCGGGCGGCGAATCTCTGAGCGTGTCGGACGTGGATCTCGACCTGCCTGGAAGATCGAGCGCCGCGATGGATGGGATCTGGCTGGAGTTCTGCGACAAGTCCCCGATCTCTGAACGACCGCCGCGACCAACGGCGGCGCCGTAGGACGACTCGGTCTCCGGGTTGGCAACATGCTCGCCAGAGACTTGCGGTGGCTGCGCTGGCGTAGAGGCGTGCGATGCAGCGCCGGACGCAAAGTTGGGCGCCGCGAAAGGGAGAGTCAAGGCGTTGTGATGGACCAAGATGTTGCGGGGCGCGAGCATCAGGTCGTCCGGGTGGCACAGGTCGGTGGCGAGCAGGAACAGGGAGGTATTGACATCGAGCGGGCTGACCTCCTGGCCCGTCGCTTCGTCGGTGATGATGAGCTTGACAATCAGCGTCGGGCTAAGAGGCCGCCGATCCTTGTCGCCGAAGCCGCACATTCTCGCTCGGTTCGGATGCTGCACGACGACGAGACGGTAGCGCCGTCCGTCGCTGACTTTGCTGAAGCCTTCTGGTGCCCCGCCGGGACCTCGGTTGGTTCCTTGCCGCATCGGATACCCCATTTGCGGTCCGGCCGAGCCGGGCAAGCCAGCCAGATCACGGTGTTGCATGCCCGGCGTCGAGTAGGCGTCCCGGTCATTTGGGCGCTCGTTGTATCTCGACCTCTCGGCGTCCGTTCCGTAGCGGTAGGGCGCCTGGTCGTAGTCATCGCGAAGCTGAGCCGACGGAGCCGAGCCCGGCATCTGCTGTCGGTACGGCTGCGGGTGGTGCGCGGCACTGTGGTATCGTTGGCCCCGCTCGTCCTGCATGTCTGTCCGGTAAGGCGCTTCGGCCTCGTTGTAGAAAGCGCCTTCTCTCCCCTCCCATGACCCTGCCTCGGCGGGGAGTTGCCGGTAGTCGTCGTCGCCATACTCGTCACCGATGGCAGGTCGGCTCGGCCGACGCCGATAGTACGAAGGTGGTTGCGGTACCTGTTCGCCTGTCCCCGCCATGGCAGAGTAGCCATACGGATCCTGCTGATGGCCATCAGAGTATCCGGGATGGCCCGTTTCACGCAGTCGGGAGGGTCCCGCGCCCGAGGTCGTTGCCTGGACATCCTCAGGCTCTGGCGTCCGCAGCTCGGCCGCAGATCGCTTGTCATCCTCGTAGACGGGTGAGCCGTTGCCTGAGTGTGACATGGCGAGGCAGATGCAGGAAGCAAGCCTTGGGACCGTCTCAAGCTCGAGCAGAAAAGGTCGAGACGAGTTCAGGAGCGATCTTTCTTTCGACCGACCGAGGTGCGCCCCAAAGACGAGAAGATCACCGGCCTTCGGGTTGCTCGAAAGCTATGCGGGATAATCAAACGGGCCTGCCTCTCGGGAGGTGCTGACCAAGGCGCCCACTCGAGGGATGGCAACCGGGGCGTGAGCAGGGCGGTGTCGCGATGAGTTCGCGATGAGGCGATGCCGATGGGGCTAGGCTGGGCGGCAGTCGGTCAAGGCAGGGAGGGGCCAGGGCGCGGGTCGGCTCTGCCGCGGCAGCGGAGCTTGAGCCGAAGCCTTGCCTCGAGCGAGGCAAAATGGGACAGAGTAGACCGGGTACGGCCCGGTCCCGAACCGGCTGACGTCGTGGCAAAGAAGCTAGATGGCTGAGCCTTGCGCCGGTCGATATCACGGGCGGGTGGGCTAGGCAACCGACGGCTTTGATCAGAGGCAGGGCGGCACGCACGCCGACTGGTACGTCTGCTCAGCGAGGGCAAAGAGGGTGCGGCCGGGAAGTAGGACGTTGATGAAACGATGGCGAGGCGGAGTACGATAGATCGGTCGACGGAAGAGCTTTGACGCCGTTCACCAGCGGTGAGATGCGAGGATGCAACAGAGACGATGGGGCAATGTCGTGCGAGCAGGCGATGGCGGCGGCAAATATGGCGACTAGAAGGCGGCAAGGATAGGGTTGGGTACGGAACGGAGACTGCGTGCGGAACCTGATGGTGGTTATGAAGCTGTTTGCGTGCGGACCGGTTGACGGAGGCCGAGGGCAAGCGGAAGGGGCGACGAGCGGGTGGCAGGACGAGCAAAGACGAGAGGAGCAATGAGGGAGCGGCGGCGGGCGACGAGGGGGCAGGATGCCCGGCCGGCTTGAGACCAAAGGGGTTTGCGGCCTTTACGGAAAGGCACGGCTCGGGGGAGAGGGAGGTTGGTGGAAGGGTGTGGCGAACCCTTCCCCCCCTCGGCTGTGCCCCCCTCACGCTCTCCGTTGGGGTCTCTCTCGCTCGCAGTAGTGTGGCAGCATGGCGGAGGGCGATTGCCTAGACGAGCTGCAGGCACCACCACCTCTCTCGCCTCGCCATAGTTGCCACGCCCCGCCGTGGTCCCAACTCCCCGCCTGGGTGGAGGAACGCGCAGCGCGCACCCTCACCTCTGTCTGGCCAGGCCCTGTCCTCGACATCCAACTCTCTCGCCCTTGCCACTGACCTCGACTGAGGGGGGCCAGCTTCGTACACCCAGGCGAGGTTGCTTCAGGCTGCTGGTCTGATCTTACCGGTACTCTCTCTGAAGGCCAAGGCGAATCGCGCGCTGGCCAAGGTGGTTGCGTGTTTCATCAACGCTGTGGGCCTTTCTGAACGGAATCACCGAGACCAAGAGGCAGGGCGCGTTCGCATGAAGCAGGATCGGAACGGGCTCGGAGCTCTGTCGCGCCGCTAGCTCGGCCAGGCCCAGCCCAGCAGGCTAGGGCAGCTTAGGCTGGACCCGGCCAGGCTAGGCAGGCCAGGCCAGGCCAGGCTAGGCTAGGCTGATGACGGCGGACGCGCAAACAAGCCAGAGTCGAGGCCTCCTGACCGCCCACGTACCTGTATGACTGCGCCGCGGACGGAGCAGGCCAGACGAGGCCAGGCCAGTCGACAGGTGGGCGCTCCAATGGAGCTGTGACCTGACCTCACCCTCCTCATCCTTGATCGCTCCCCATCATCGATCGCTGAACCGCCTCGTAGGCTCCTTTCGAGACCCCACCGCGCGCTCGTCGTACGTGGACTTACGGCTGGATCACAGCGCCTGCTTATGTGCTCATCCTACCTGAGGTGCTCAGCGTGGGGGCAGATCGCTTCAACGTGTCCCCATCTATTGACCAGGGCGCTCAAGGGCAGACCTGGATGTACAGGAATGGCGACGTACATCGAAGCCTCGGAGAGATGGCCGAACTCCCGCCACACAGCAACACTCCATGCCTCGCCAGATGTACCTCGTTCTTCTACCAGGCAGCCAAGAGAAAGCACCAAGACTCTGGCACGACCACAGATGCGGATGGCAGGCAACATCCGCTGCTCGGTCGAGCCGCTACCCTCGCTGTCTTTGCCAGCAACGTATGGAAGCATCCTGTTCGTCTGTGATTCTGGATATGGGAATGGCCGTGGCTGGAGGTGGCCGAGGGAGGCGCGGTACATACCGGTATCTAGGTAGGTACCTGTGAGCGCCATGAAGCCTAGACCTTTGTTCAGCTTTCGGTTGGGAGCGGGCCGTTCTGGGAAGCAAACATCTGGAGCTGCGCGCACACAGGGCAGTTGGTCAGGCAGCGCTGGGCCCGGCTGCTTGCTGTCTTGCCTTACGACAGATGTGCCGGGCTGATTGCCAAGCAGCGCCGCCTGTCCTGCCTGGCTCCTGAATGGCGGACTAGGAAGGCTCGCAGCGGAATCAGACCTGGCCGCATCCCGGCCCACATTGCGGCGCACATCGCCGCACCGGGCTGACCTTCCGGGGCGAAGCGGCGAGTCCGAGACCAAGGCAGGCCGTGTCCGGCGTGCGGTCAGCTGCAAGATGCAAGCGTGATGGTCACTCGACGGGGCGTTCAGCTGGCAGGTACATACAGACCGGCAGGCCAAGCGTCGCACGTTCGACCAGTCGTCAGCAGGCTACTGCGAAGAAGGAAGCTGCTCATCCGTGTCTCTGCGGCGGATCCGTTGTCATACAGAGCGCTGGCCCTGGTGTACCGGTACCATGACGCCGACTGACTGCAGCAGTAGCAGTGCTTGTGCGCCACTGCACACCATATGACGCCTGATTTGTTCTACAGTAGTAGGTGCCTGCCCGTCCTCGACCGTCTTCCTGCTTTCACTCGCTTGCTCGCAGGTACAGACAGGCGAGAGAGCGCGGTCAGGGCGATTCGGCACGTCATCCTAGCTCGCTCGCTTCATCTCGCCGCCGCGGGGTGATCTATCTGGGCGGCATCATCCGCGGAGCACGGGTCTTGCTGCTACCGTAGGTGGCAATCTGGCTTCGAAGACCGTACCCTCGCTAGGATGAAGGCCTCGGACTCTGCGAACACCGAAAAGGCTGCGGACAAGGCCTTCTCGAGGGGCGGAAAGCGAGGCCTAAAGCCTGTCACCGGGGCGTTTGGTCAAAGGTCGATCCCACTCCAGACCGCGAAAGGAGAGGGAAAATCAAAAAAGGTGGCGCCGGCCCGAGCCGGGCAATCAGCCTCGGCGGAACCTGGTTTTGAGGTCCCGACCAGCTTCGTACCGACCTCTCGGACACGCGCGGAATTCTTTCCAGGCACGGCACGACGCCCAGCAGGCCCAGCAGCAACACCCATCACACATCGACTCTTCAGCCACCTTCGAGCCTTGGTGCTGGTCGTGATCACTCACTGTACTTGCACCCATAGTAGGAAGTGCATGTACAGTAGTGCGAGGAGAGTTCAGCAGCTTGCTTTGTGCTTACTGCGCGCATCATTCAGCGGGTCCTTGGGCGGGCGTCATCATGTCCAGATCCTGGCTGGCCAAGGTGAAGTTCACATGACGTTCCCGGGGAGCTGTGTGTCTGCAGCTGTGCGTGGCCCAAACGAAGGCTAGGCTCGCCCGGCCCGGCCCGGCCTGGCGTGGCCTGGCCTCCAGCCCAGCGGAGACCTGCTTGTGGCTGGCTTGTCTAAATTTGCCGACGCAAAATTTGCGCCGGCGTCTCCCGTGACGACGGGCCTGCCTGCCTGCCTTGCAGGCCTGCTTGCTGCTCTGCTTGCTTGTTTGCTCGGCCCAAGCCTCCCCGTTGAACCCCGCGAGCTTCCCGCCGTTGTTGACCGCTGCGAGCCGGGAAGCGGCCGAATTCCGTCGCCGCGCTGCCAGACCGGACCGGATCGGAGCGGCGCGCCCTGGCAGGCCGCGACTCGCGATCCAACAAATGGCGCAGCGTCCGCCCACATCTTCGCATCTCTGGGATCCAGCAGGCAGCATGCTTGATCCCGTCCCCGATCGCCTTGCGAGCCAATTGCACCACCGCCTCTCGCATCGTCAGGGATGCAAGCAAGCAAGAAGGTAAGATGCGTCAACGGTCGCTTCGGCACCTCCTCATGCACGCGCGTCGGCCATGTGTGTGAGGCACCGGCGCCGGCGCGGCAGCAGGGCCAGCCTGGCCACCCTGGCAGGGCGAGAAACAGCGGCGCGTCAAGGCTCGCTACCGTCTCCGCTTTCCCTACATACATGGCGATGATGTGATGGCCGACAGCCGTCGTCGAAAGAAACCCCACTGCAGTCTTAATCTATGCTGGCCGTGCATGCGAAGAAAAGAGGCCGCACACGATGCCGCCGTGTCCGGCTTCCCCGGCTGGCTTGCGGACACGCTCGAGGTTGCAACACGGACGGACGTGGACAGGCCCGCAGCAGTATTGTCCCTTTGCTCTTACAGCGAAGCCTGTCCCTTCCCGGCGCGCTCCAGGTCGTGCGTGATGCTTCACAGATCGACAGGTCGGGCTCCTCGAGCGTCGACGACATTCAGCATCGAATCTCGGACTGGCTTGATTCGGCCGCAGCGGCAAAGTACAGAGCCTGAAGTCGGAGCGTTGAAACCGCACGATACCGGCCGGACCTTGGTACGCACGGTATGTCCCCTAACGCCGAGCGGACTTCCGACAGGCGATGCTCCGCGCCGTAGCGAGCTGCGCTGCAAGGATCGGGGCGAACTTGCGTGTGAAGACTCTCGAGGACCTCTGCGCTCGTCGGAGTTGGCCGAGTGTCCCTTGGGAACAACAACAAGATGTTTCTCTGGCCGTAAGCGCCTTTGCCTACGAGCGCCAAGAATCGAGTCCAGGTTCCATCACAAACGGGAGACTGAGGCCATAGGCTCATCGTGCAGTAGAGTGGGGATCTGACCTCCGCAAAGATGGCCGCTCGAATTCAACAGGCTGGCCTCCGGCGGTCAGTCCAGCAGTAGCGGCCACGATACTCGCACCGATCTAGCTCGGAGATAGGCAGCGTACTGTTGTGTGACCCGCCACAGCGGACATTGCGACGGGCAAACGTTGAGCCGCGCCATTCATGATTGTGTTCTGGGTCTCGAAGCCGAGGTTAGAAGCTGTGCATGTGCCGAGCTGTGAAGCAAAGGCCAACCGAGATTGCCGATCCCTCGACCATCAACGCTCTCCTGTACGCTGGCCCTATCCAGTTGCACGAAGCTGCGTTCTCAAAGCAGCGGGCGCGAAGAAGAGATCGTAGCATGGAAGAAGTATCATGTTGTCGACCGGCGCTTGTTGGCCGGGGACGCGCGGTTCGTTCTGATGAGAAGGCCAAGGACCTGCCGTTGCGCGACCGGGCACGTCCGAGAGAGTGGACTGCGAGTCGCGCCTCGTTGCGCACGCAGTCCGGGCAGCGCAGAACAGCCTAAAGCTGCAGACTGCATCGAAGGCAGGCGGCGTACTCGTGCGTCATGTTCGAGATCGACGTAAGCCAGGGCTGACCTCCAATGCTCCGACAGATCATCGCCGACACCACTCTGTCCTGGCAAGGTCTGTGCTGCGGTCCAATGCGGTGTCGCTCGCTCGGTGTCTCGTCCCGCCCACGACCAACGTTAAGGCAAGAGAGTACCTTTGGTACCGGAAGGGAGATGACCGGACGCAGGAACAGATCACGGAACGCCAAAGGCGCGGCGGCGGCGGCGAGAGCAAGCTGCTCGCTAGCGAAAGGGATCTGTGTACGTCCACTGGTCTGTGCGTTCCGATCGCTCGTTGACACAGGCGCCTCCAACGTGACCAGGCTGGCAAGCCAGGCGGGCGCCGGAGTCGACGGCGCGCCTAGACGTTGGCAGCGAGCGGGCAACGAGCTCAGCTGGTGGTCTCGGGGATCCCCGTCGTCAGGCAGCTGCGAAAACGGTTCCGGGCGAGGCGACAAGATGGCAGGCCTGCCGCGCTCCGTGAGCCGCCTTAGACCGTCTGACATCCGTACGAAAGGACCCGCCGCCCGCTGGCATCTCGCCGCCGTAGGAATACGGAACGGCCGATCTTTGGTGGTTTCGGAAGCTTCCGACGGTGAGGAACACGCAACTCGCTGTCGTCCAGACGGAGCGTGACGTCAGGGCCGGGCGCCAAGCCCGAGCAACGTAACCTTGCTTCGGTGTAAACTATATCTCCGGCCGGCCGGCTGGGCGTTCCGAATGATGAGCCGATCGTACATGTGGCCCCTCCCGCTCCTCGCTTGCCTTGTGGCCCGCAAAGTGGCCCGTGTCGCCGGCCCGCCTGTGCGCGTCGTTCTGCTTGCCATGCGGTCAAGCGATCGAAGCAAGCAAGCAAAGCAAAGCTGTGCAAAGCATGGCTGGCGAGCCAGGCTGTGCTGTGCATCGAAGCCGACGTTACGGTTGGTGCTTCCTTGCCGGTGCCGCGCGTGGAGGCAAGGCGCTGCAATGAAGAGACGAGGGTCGAGGGGCGGGTCTTGGCAAGCCCGCCTGCAACGGCATGCTCTCCGCGGCGTTTGATGCCCCACCCCGCACGGCTGAGGAGCCATGCCTCCTTCTCGTGTGGAGGTGTCAGTCCAGCGCTTTTCAGCAGCATGTAGAGCAGCAAGCCAAACGACGACGGCGTTGCCGAAGCTCGCTGCCTGTTCCATGTTGGCTTCGCTCGTTCTATAGCGTCTGACTCGACATGCCACGGCTGACGCCGAACACATAAGAGAGGGAGGTTCGCTCGCCGGGCCGCGCCTTCCCATCTCGCAATCACACCCGAACCTGCAACTACTCGTCCTGAACCAACAGCTGCTCCCCTCTCCTCAACGAACACGATGCTCGGAACATCCGCAACCAAGCTCTCGCTGCTGCTCGCCTCGACCTCGGTCGTGGTGGGCGCCTCGCCGCTCCTCTCGGCTCGGCAGGACAGCACCGCTTCTGGCAGCGGCAACTCGTCTTCGCTGCCCACTTTCCCCGTCGGACTGGCCTCTGCGACGTGGGACGGCGAGCTGTTCTACCCCAAGCCGATCGACGACTTTGAAGCGACCAAGTACGTCGGACCTCGACCCGATGGCGACTCGAGGCCCGTGTGGTACCAGTGGGCGGCGAGCGAGCAGCCTTTCCTCAAGGGATGCCGCTGCGTCTACGCCCGGTACGGCACCAACGAGGTGAGTGTCTCGGACGACCCGGCCTTTCCCTGCCCAGCCCGGCCTGTTACGATGAGCGGTTCATCCGACGACCATTACTGAACACACCGCCTCCCCCCCGCCTTCTTGTGTGCTCGCCTGCTCACTCGTCTATCGACGCCTCAATCAGAACGGCACCGTCTCGGTCGAAAACTCGTGCACCCGAGGTGACCGCGCGTCGAGCATCAAGGGCTACGCGGCCCCGACGCCCGACTATGGCGACGGCAGCTTCCAGGTCGCCTTCTTTGGCGCCAAGCCCGACCAGCGCGGACCCAACTACGTCGTCACCCGTGCGTTTAGCAACAAGCCGGGCGAGGACCTGGTGCGCCTGAAGAACGCCGACAGCCGCGACGACGAGGAGGACAACAACACCAATACCAACAACAACACCAACTCGAACGACAACGACAACGACAACTCGAACGACAACGCCAACTCTAACGACAACGACAACGACAATGACAACGACAATGGCAGGAGGAAGCGCGACGAGGACGGCACCGACGACGACGCCGAGGAGGAGCGGTACGAGACCGTGATTGTGGGCAGCCAGAACTTCTCGGGCTGGTTCCTGCTGAGCCGCACGCGCACCGTGCAGACCGACATCGTCGAGGCCTACCTGCGCGAGGTGGCCGATGCCGGCTTCGACCTGACGAAGCCCTACGAGATCTACGACCAGGAAAACTGCGGCGCCGAGCCGCCGTACAACCCGGACGCCTAGGTCGCTGCGGTCCTAGCCTCCCAGCTCTCCCCCTCCACCATGGGGTTCTTTGTATATAGCCCTGCTTGTCAGGCCTTCCTCTAATCTGAACCGGTGATGCTTTCAACGCGACTTGAGAAAACGAAGTTTCTCTGCGCGATGGGACGATGTCGTGGTTGGTGTCGCACACATGCCGTGACCGTCGCTGCTCGACAGGTTGGTCTGCACCAGGCAAGGAGGCAGGTGGAGGCGTGGGCTAGACCGTCGGCCGTGTTCCGCGTTCCGAGGCGTGGTCCCACAATTTCGGAAGACGTCTCTGGCCGCCTCTCCCATCTTCCAGCCCAGGCACCACCCGCACCACCACCACCACCACCACCACCACCACCACCATTCCGCCCCCATACCACGCGACTCGGCACCCTCTCCAAGATGGACCGACCGCCACAGGAACACCCGCACTCCGAGGCGCTGCTCGCGAGCATCCTCCAGACGCCCGATGTTGATGTACCGGCGAGCGGGCGGCCGAGCGGGGAGACGCACGCGCACTACGTCGAGAGGCTCAAGGACCGGCGGGTCCAGCTCTCGAACCCGGATCGCAAGCGGCCCAATTCCGGGGGCGGCGATGCCAGGGCGGGGATACGGGCGGAGTCGAAGCTGACGCGGCGGAAGAGGAGGGTCAAGGCTGAGTTGGCGCGGATCAAGCGGTTGCGGATCGGTATGACGCAGGAGGTTCGACGACGTGAGGAGCAGGAGGAGGGGCAGGAGGTGGAGGGGAGGAGGAGGGGGAGGGATGATGGGGGAAAGGAGAGGGAGACGGTCAAGGAGAAGCAGCGCGAGCTGGCCGAGATCAAGAAGCAAGAGAGGAAGACCCGATCCCCTTCGTCGTCGTCGTCCTCGATGCGGACCAAGGGAAAACGGGTGGAGCGCAACGCCACCAAGCCGCTTACACGGTCGCAGCGCAAGGCAATCGGGCTGGAACGTGTCGACGCCAACGTCGAGTACGAGCTGATGCAGCCGCTGCACGAGCTGTGGACGTCGTACATCCAGCAGCTGCTCGGCTTCACCGTCCTCGACGCATCCACGTCCCAGCTCGTGCCCAACCCGAGCTTCAACCGCCCCGGCGCCGGTGCCGGCGGGGGGGTGGGGAGCTTGAACAACCTCTCTTCCGGCGCCGTCTCTGCGATACAGGGAAGCCTGATCAAGGCGGACCTGTGTGGCGCCCTCGTACATGGTGAGTTCGTCCTTGCCAGTCGTCCTCGTCTAGACGTGGGGGTGGTATCCTCACTCCCATCCTACTTCGTCCTTCACTTCCTCCCTTCCTTCGTTCGGTCAACAGTGGTACGCTCTTCGAACCCCTCGCTCGTCAACCAGAGCGGTCTCGTGGTCAAAGAGACGGAACGCACGCTCGTCATTGCGCCCCGACCCCGACCCCAAGCGACGTCGGGAGGCGAGTCCCATTCCCCTTCTCCAAAGACAAGAGGTACGTCGCTCTCGTCCTCCTTTGTAGCTCTCAACGGGCAGCGCAGCGCTGATACCGACTCGGTACGCACCCGCCTGTACGCAGTCGTGCCCAAGCACAATACCGTCTTCGCCATCGACATCCCGCTACCCGGCGACAACGTGGCCCTGCACAGGAGCGTGCGCTTCGAGCTGCACGGCAACCACATGATGCACAGCCTCCCCTCGCGAGCCACGCGCAAATTCAAGGCGCGGGCCACTACCGACTTTT